CTCTCTCTCTCTCTCTCTCTCTCTCTCTCTCTCTCTCTCTCTCTCTCTCTCTCTCTCTCTCTCTCTCTTGTGCACACTCTTAGTCTCATTGCTTTGGCTACCTTAAGGTTGAGTTCCCCGTGCCCACGAGGTAGACAATGAATACAACGGTTTCGTTGCGGAAGGGGGGGGTACAACTGTATACAGCGGACGACGCGGAGGCCCAGCCCGGAGGGCGTGGGGTCTTGGAACGCATTTTGGAGACCCCAGTGGTTGACCCTCCGCCCATCCTAAACGCTCCCCACTTTCCCGTTTCCCTCGGAGTCCACACTTTTCTCGATTTCTCGAACTCGAAGACAACGCTGGTCGGAGCCGGGGTAGGTCGCTCCACCCTGTAGCTTAACAGATGGGAGTTTTTTTAGACAGGTCGTGTTACCTCGTAACCTAGCAGTTGGGGGTGTGAGGCCTGTAGGAGTCTTGATATCGAGGAGGGAGGTCGAAGCCGGTTGAGGTTAGGACGGTTGAGCGTCATCCACCCTGTTTTGGTTTTGTTGGTTTCTTTAAAAAAAAAAAATTCATAGTCTTTCAGATTTTAGTACCTTTTGGATGGTATAAAATGGTACATAGGCATTGATCAGGATTGGGGAGTTTGTCTTTTGTGGAGTGTATTACCTGGAGGAAGGTGGGTTGGTTTTGACCTGTTTAGGGCCTGTCTCTTATACACATCTAGATGTGTATAAGAGACAGGTATAAAATGGTACATAGGCATTGATCAGGATTGGGGAGTTTGTCTTTTGTGGAGTGTATTACCTGGAGGAAGGTGGGTGGTTTTGATCTATTTAGGGCCGGGTTGATTTTGGGGTCAAATTAGTCATTGCAGATGGGGAGGGGGTCAAGGGCTTGAGAGGATTGATGGGGGAATTCTAGTTCTGCGGGGGCATATGCTTGATGTGGTAAGGAAATTACAAGTCGGAGAGAGAGCTGGAGTAACTTGAAGAAAAGGGTAAGATGGAAAAGGGGGAACTGTAGTTCTGCGGGGGTATGTGCATGATGTGGTAAGGAGATTATAAGTCCTTGAGGGAGCTGGAGTGACCCGGGGGAAGAGGTAATTAGGGTGGGGAAGGAGGAAGGGGGAACCCAGTTCTGCGGGGGCATGTGCATGATGTGGTAAGGAAATTGTAAGTCCCAGAGGGAGCTGGAGTGACCCAAGGGAAGGAGCAATTCTTGTTTCTGCCTGAGTTTGATATGCTCAAGTGCGTGTCAATTTTTGGCGGGGTTCAAAAAAAGGCAGGCACAATTCTTACAGCTTTTCTAAATTGTAGTCTCAGTCGAAGCCGGGTAATGACCCCGGTACCTAGATCTGTTTTTGCATAAGTTCTTGATATGTTCTCAAATGGGACGTTGGGCCCGGTTCCCAGCACATGTTGCTCCCCACGTATAGATTGGAGCAATTGAAAAAAATAAAAAATAAAAGAACTTTGCCTGAAGAAGAAACCCCACCAGCTAAACGCCCCCCACTTTCCCGTTTCCCTCCACACTTTCTCAATTTCTCGAACTCGAGCTTTACCTGAAGTAGAAAACCCTGGGCGCAACGACCGCATCCTTCTGCTCCATATTCCCGCCCCCTTTATTGACTTACCGTGAGGGCACGGGTGCGCAGCTCGTAGTTCGTTTGTTTATGTGGTTCGGGAAGGGTAAGGTATTGATTATGTTGTATGTATGTTTTGTCATGTTCGCTATACACAACTCGAAAAGAGTGTG